TGGAATTAAATGTTTTATTATTCCTTTAGTATATTTTATTTATAATTTTTTTGTACATTAATGTTGTAATCTGTCAAGAGGAATAAAGTCTACACACACACACATACACACACGTCTTGTATTTGTAATGTAACTTAATACAAGGACGTTTGGTTTCTCAAATGTAACTTGATGATGACGTGAACTCTCTGGCTGTGTGTGTGTGTGTGTGTGTGTGTGTGTGTGTGAACTCCATTGCGGTCAGTGCTGCATGTTGTTTCCTCTGTGAAAATCCCTGACATCTGTTGTAAAGTCATGTTATTGCAGGTGATAATTACTCACACATGCTATCTGTGTAACATGACTCAACACAAATAACTAATGAAGTACAGAACACACTGTTATATCTTTTTAATTAACTCAGCCACAAGACAATGTTTGTTTAAAGAGTCACTCACTGAGCCAGTTTATCATTTACTTAGCTGTGCAAAGTTCATTTCTTTTTATCCTAAATAACAAAATAAATCTGCAATAAATATATCCAGCAAACAATAAGATTCAGTTAAATTCTGGTTATTATAATGGCAATCATGCTGTTGAGTATTAATCAAATATTACTTTTTCATCATTCACATTATGCTTTTGTTTTTGCCTTTATATACCTCATTTAAAATTACACTGTGCCTTTGAATCACTGCATCTCCAGATGTAAGATCTCTTTGGTTATCTCTTGTTACATCACGACTTTTTACACATTCAGTCATTTTCACTTGTCACACCAGTGAAACTAATTTCATTAACTGCTCTATTCTGTCAAATGTCCCAATAAGTCCTGACGCTGAGCCAGTGTGCACAATAACAGTCTCCAGGAAACAACTTACCTGAACTCTATGCATGTATTTTTAGTCAGTAACAACCTTGATTTCCATGTTAGGAAATAGAAATCAAATCACTACTTGGAACAATCAACTAATGAGTTACGATGAAGGTAACATTTACACAGTCAGTAGTTATTATTTAAATATACTTTAAACTTGACTTTTTCACACACTAAAAAGTATCACCCACAATCCAAGTGCTCTGATTTGAATGAGTCACACTGAGTCTTGTGTCACAATCACAACTGTTGCTCCCTCCACGTTTGCTGTAACTGCAGTCTCTCTCCGATGTGGATCTTCTGGTGTCTTTTCAGATTCTCCCCTCGACTGAAGCTCTTTCCACACTGGTTGCAGTAGTACGGTTTCTCCCCTGTGTGGACGCGCTTATGTTTCTTCAGGTCTCCCGCCTGACTGAAGCGCCTCCCGCACTGTACGCAGCCGTACGGCTTTTCCCCCGTATGACAGCGCTGGTGGATTCGCAAGTTCCCCAGCCTGCTGAACGTCTTCCCACATACAACACACAAGTGCGTGTCATCGTCTCTGAAGTGCTCCATCTTGATTCTCCTCACGTCAAACAAAGCCCTATTGGGTTTTGAAAATCCATGCCTCCTCTGTATGCTGTGCTTTGAGTGGGCAAAGGTGAGTCCGTAAGGTTCAGCGCCAACTTGTGGCCTGAGGGTCTCAGCAGAGTTATGACGAGAAGAGTTGCAGCTTAAATCCACACATCCAGGATATTGCTCTTGAGGAGGTAGAGGTTCTGATGTCCTACAGTTTGTCAGCTCTGCTTCTATATTGCCGGCAGCCAGGTTTACCTCAAGTGGACAGATGGAGGGAGGATTGAGCAAAGTGTCAGATGAGACTGAAGTGATTTCTCTGTTTGCACTGTGTGATGGTTGGACAGTCTTTATTATGTGCATCCCCTCCTCAGGCTGTGCTTTGCAATATTCATGCGAGGTTTGTGCTAAGTCGCATTCAGCCTGTGGCTCAGTATTATTGTGGCTTTCATGTTCTCTGCATTCCTGCTTTATGTCGTGTTCAGGTGTGTGGCTGCTCGTCGGCTCTTGCTCTGTGTGTGTGACACCTGAGTTGTGCCTCTGAGTGACACTGAAGTCCTGCTCGTGAGTCTTTGTGTCTTGTATTTCTTCAGGCAACGGTCCACTGTCAGGCACAGCAGCTGAGAAATGAATCAAAGAAATCAAGGACTGTTTATTCTTGTTTACCAACTCATCGCCACACTGCAGCCAAAATGGAACTGATGCATTTACATGTGCATTACGACTTCACTCACGTGCACTCTCTCTTGTTATTTTGTCCTGAAGCTCCAGCAGTCGTCTCTTCAGACTCTTGTTCTCCCTCTGTGTTCTGGCAGTTTTCTCCTGGTACTCCGACACCGTCTCCTTCACCACCTCCAGAACCTCCTGCACCACCTCAGTCAGCAGCTTGGCCACACGAGCATTCAAACGGTCAATTTTAGACATCCTGAAATCCAACAGCACCCAGGGTTCCGATTAAGTGAGTTTTATAAACATTGTTTTGACGTGTGTTAATATGATCACTGGATGTTTTGTTGACCTTTTCTTCTATGTATTGTTTTTATTGTTATTAAAGCTTTTAATGCTCATGTGATGAACATCCACTGTGAAGGTGACAAGTTGAATAAGTATTAAATAAAGACAAAACTGACAAACCCTACAGAACCAGACCATTTCAATGCAAAGCTTCCTGACCTGGAAATTACATTTACAAACATCCCATGTTAGCTTAGCTTTAAACACAGTCTCCATAGATAATCTAATGAAATGAAGGTCACGTTTATTTGATGTTTAATGATTTAATCCCTGCAGTTTGAACTGTGTGTGTGTTCCCTGAATAAGACACAAGAGCTCCAGTACCTGGAGGCTGCTTCTGAAGTTAGCGGCTAAGTTGACACGTTAGCTTCCTGAGCTAACTCCGTATTTTCCTTTTCTCTTTGAACATCGCAGAGTTTTAACGAAGCGTCACACGATCAGCGTCAGCGACACGTTTACTTCCAACCAACACGCGTCATTTCTAACGAATAACACGAGTTTAAATCACAGAAAACGATGAAATAACGACGCATCATATGGTCACAACAAACACGCAACACCCGGAAGCGGAAATGGATTATCTTGAGAAGGGTATTGCTTTTCAGAATAAAGGTCCACGTTAAATGCGTTTGTAAATTCGTACGTAAATTCAACATTTCTGTTTAATTCAGATGATCCGACTTTGCTCATTAACAGTGTAATTACATCTAATATACTCATTTTAAATTGTGTTCTAAAAAATCCATAAGGCAAATGATACAAGAAATAAAACCAAACCAAAGCAGAATAAATAATTTAAGTTTTAGTCAATTAAATGTGAAACACAGTGTGGTACATTAGAGGTCAAACAATCATACACAAAGTTCAGTGGATATCAGTTTAGTAGTTTTTGTGTAAAATTAAGCCAACAAACAAATACACAGACAAAGATGAAACATAGCAAAAACAAAGTGAACACAAGTGCAGGAACATTTATTCCTGATGTGAATATTCCTACAAAAGCTCTAAAATCAGGAATGACTTTATCACACAGCTTCTTTTTGTGTTCAGATTGTAAAGGATCAGTGTAAACAACACTTTACATACAGAGGAACCAAATCCATTTATCTGATTTGGAGGTTCAGGATGAAGTATCACAGTAAACAAACCTCTGAATATCTGGCAAACAACAGTGAGGCAGGAACAGGAGAAGTGGTTGACTCTGCTTTTTCATCTCTGAATTTGACTCAATATGTAATCTACAATGTGGTTTTATATTTTAATTTTCAAAAGGCACATTTAATTGTGTAATAAATAACTTAACTAGTCCAGTAACTCTCGTTTTTGCTCATAGAGAATCCAGCATTTTACAGTTTTTAAACATTCGTCAGTAGATTAAAAACTTGCCGCCTTTTTTAGTGTCCATTCCTAAATATCAAAAACATGAGGCGTAAGTAAAACATCAGGATATCACAGCAGAACAATGTGGCTCCGTACCTTTGTAAAAACACAGCCCCCTCACAGATGCGTTTGTAGGTGTTTCTTCAGGTTACTCGAGTGGCTGAAACTTTTTCCGCAGTGGCTGCAGCCGAACGGCTTCTCTCCCGTGTGATAGCGCAGGTGCACCGTCAGGTACCCCGACTGACTGAAGCTCTTCCCACACACCGAGCAGCAGTACGGCTTCTCCCCTGTGTGCACCCTGCTGTGTTTCTTGTAGTCGCCTGCGTGTCCGAAGGTGCGACCGCACAGCGAGCAGCAGTAGTGTTTTCTGACGTTTCTCTGGAAGGAAGCTGAGTCCGAAGCGCCAGAGTCTGCACCAAAAATGTTTGTGAGACTGTATCTTGGAGATTGAGGCTCTTGGCCCCGACCGAAGATGAACCCTGACATGTTGTAGAGTCCTGAATTGGTTGGAGGGGGTTCAAATCTGTGTAAGAGTGTAGAGCTGGTCGCGGCATCATCAAACAAATTGTCAGTGTGTGTGTGCGCGGTCTCTTGATCTGGTATGGGCTCCTCTTTCATTTTATTTGATGTAAGCGATAAAACAGAGACATTTTCCTTGATTTGAATTGTAACAGTGGGGTCTACGTGATTTGTAGTTGGTGATAATAACCTGTCATCAGTCTCAATTTTGAGAGTTCTCGGATCGCTCAAGTTATCATCGTGCAAATGTGATTCTGTCGTAGCTTTGGGGGAGAGGCACGGTGTAGTGAGGGATGCTTCACAGTCAGTGTCTGCAAATGAATCTGAAACGTCCTTATCAGCAGGTTCAGCATCGTCTACCAGCTCCTCGTTCTCTCTCTGTTCCCCCTCAGCCTGCTGGGTTGCGGTGGAAATTTGCGGCAAAGGCCCTGCGACACAACAAGGGCGACGAAGAGACACAATTATTTATCAGTTTCCACATTTCTGGACTCCAGTGCTGAGCGGCGCTCTCTTACCACTGCTCTCCAAGTCGATCTTGTGTTGGAGCTCCTGCAGCCTCCTCCTCAGACTCTGGTTCTCCCTCTGAGTCCTGGCTGTTTTCTCCTGGTACTCCCACACCGTCTCTCTCACCACCTCCAGAACCTCCTGCACCACGTTACACAGCAGCTTCTCCACTCGGACATTCAGACGCTCAATTTTGGACATAGTTATGAACTGAGAAGAAATATGGAGACAAATATATATATATATAATCTTTGCCATCACACATCTTCACACTTCTATCTGATCATCTTTCTTATTTCAGCCAAATGTAAACACAACAAAAAGCTGGATTTACACACAATCTTATAACAATAACATCAAATACTGATATTTTAACACCAGTTTTACAGATGGATAAGGATTCTTGAAATGTGAACAGAAACCAACCTCACACCCAGTTCAGTCTGTGGGTGAATCCTGTTTATTGTCAGTCTGTTGTTGAACACTGCGGAGTCTTCAGTGTGAATCCCAGCTTGTTTGACCCGGATGTGAATCATTCATTTATTTACAATATTCACATTAATGCAGTTTCTCGTGTTGAAGCTGCAGAATCATCGAAACGAATCTGATCAATGAGTCAAAACTATTTTTTAAAATCACACATGAAGCGAAAGAGTGTGAAAATACTGATGTGTGCGTTAGAGACGTTAGACGTCATCACGCACAGCCTTCTGATCTTCTTCCTGGGTCTTTAAAAAGGGTTGAAATGCAGCGGCGGGTGCGTTGCTGCCATCTACTGGTGAACAGAGTATTTTAAAAACATGAACTCATTAAAATATATTTAATTGCAGCAAAACAAATTTCAATTTGTATAATTTGCTTTTGGTTTTTAAAAGAAGCATTTGCAGAATTTTTTGTAAAAGCTCCAAGTGTACTAATTTTTTGTTTGTTTTGTATATTTCTGAAGGTTAGTTCATTTGATAATAGAAGCACATTTTATATATATATATATATATATATATATGTAAGCATTTCTCATGCTTGAGCCTTCTCAGTCACTAATTTAAAAAGGGTTTCTACATTGCATGTTTATATTGTTTACACTTATTGTACAATGTGTGATGATGAAAATCAATGAGTCAGTCGATCAAATGACTCCTACACTGTCACTTGTCATCTTCCAGTCACATGAACCTTGAGCTTGAATAAGAGATTTTCTATTTTAAAGTCACTGACAATAAAAAAAACACACCAGACAAGTATTTCTCCTTGTTTTATTTTCTTTTGCAGCTCTTGAGATACACGACTCAGAGCACACCAAGCTAATGATTTAACAATAAACCAGTAACAGATTGCATTTACCCAAACATAAAAAGTGCTTTAAGGTTTGATTACATGCTCAACGCTTACCCCTAAATCTTTTTTCAATCTTTTCAAATACATGTTAAAAGAAGCTGTTGTACGACTGTAATAATATGGCAGAGAAAACAGTTCATACAAGCTGATTGGTGAACGTGGTACATTCAAACATCAGGTGGTTTTTAACCTGACACCTGACAGGTAGGCTGGCAGTCTCACGGCTTGTCCTCGAGAGTCGTTTCCTCGAACAGACTGAGCAGGTTCTTTGGTTCAAAGCTGAGTCGGGGTAAAACCTCCTCTGCTCCAACCCAGTCGGGACCGCGCCGCTGTGTCGACCTGGCTGATGAAGAATGGCGGCTCTGCGCTGACTTTTCATTCACGCTGTCTGTGTGAAGCTCTGTGTGTATGGGGCTTGCACTCGGGGTCAGTGTGCGGCAGGAACCATTTGAGTGGATGCTGGAGGGGGTCTGAGCCAAGTTACAGGACCACTCACCCAGATTTGAGTGAGTGGGTGTGCGGGCAGGATGACTGCGGGTCGGTGAAACTGGGAGAGGAGTGGATGTGCTGTCGACAGACATTCTGGATCTGACCCTGTGAAATGGAGCCAATATAAAATAAATAATTTCAGCTGAAGGCAGAAGCAAATGAAGTGGCCTGTCAGTCAGGTGTTTCTTAACTTCGCTGTTGTTGGATATTTCGACATTTCTAAAACACTACAATAAACAACACCATGTGGACACAATGATTCTCTACCTGTGTGAGAAGGTGGGGGAAAGCCCTGGGTTGGTGTGATCCAACAGAAACACTGCGTCATCCCCTGGGCTGCCTGGGTCAGCCTGCATGGTGCTGAGGGACAGGGTTAAATCTCTGTCCCAGCTGTCCTTAGGAGGGGTGCAGGGAGCTGGTTTGGTCCAACGAGGAAGAAAGGACAAGTGAAGGGAGGACAGGAGTCTGCACCCAAAGCACAACACCAACTGTGGGGAAAAAAGGCAACGACAACATTGAGAAGACAATTTTTTTATGCTTCAGGTTTATAATGTTTTCATATAAAAATATTTAAATATTGTGAGTTTATTTGGCAGAAAGCAGTGTTATATCTTGAATATAAGTGGTTTATAACTCTGACTTGGTAGATGTTGACCATGGACGATGCCAGTTGAGTCCCTCTTTGTAAAGCCACATGATTAATATGTTTAATTATATTATTCAAACTCAAAAAGTTAGGATTTGAACAGTTTGACATTACCTGGCAGAGGGTGGTTAGGGTTAACACAGTCTCTGTGACCACAAGATGAATGCGCCTCTTCCACCTGTGTTTCCTGACAGAGGGAAGAGCCAGAAGCTCAGCTACTGTTGGTCTCTCAGAAGGCTCTGGGACCAGCATCATCTTCAACACTGCCTGCAGCTCAGTCGACAGGCCTGCAAATACAGACTGAGGTGGTGAGAAATCATCGAAATACATAAAACAGGAAAATTCCTGAGGACTTAAAAGAAAAGTAGAACCTACTGCTGGTAAACTCTGAGGGGAGGCAGCCTTGTCTGAGCTGTTGCCAGCCCTCTCCACCATTTGGAACTTCAATATTACAGGCAAGCTCCAGAATAGACACACCCAAGCTGAAGTGACAATATTCAGGCACAACATTGAATCAGATCAGATAGAAACATTTTAGAATTTCACTTAATTTTCTCCTTTGTGACATTTGTACCTGAAAACATCTGCAGCGGGTCCATATTCCCCACGGAGGAGCTCAGGGGCCATATACCTGGGATCTCCCTCCTGAGCATCGTCTTTCACTTTCCCCTCCACAGACTCCGAGCTCTTGTGTTTGAGCTCAAGCAGCAGCCCAAAGTCCCCCAGCTTCAGACGACCAGAGTCAGTGATGAGGACGTTGGCCGGCTTGAGGTCCAGATGAACAAAACCATGAGAGTGCAAGTGCTGCAGAGCTGAGAGGAGGTCGCACAGGTAGGCCCAGGCTGCAGGCTCATCTGGATTGGAGAGTTTTAAAAGACAGATATGTCAGTAGTGCCAACTGTTCAGAATATAAAATTAACTGGGGTAGAAAGCAAAGCACATTATGTGTATTGTCCTTTCCAGACAGACCTGGGCTGGGAGGCTGATTCTCAGCATGGAGCAGCAAGCTGGTGCTACACAGCTCTGTCTGAATGTACAGCCGACCATACTCCTCCCAGGCTGCCACGAAATTCAGGATGTGGGGGTGTGGACACAGACGCTCATGGTTCCTCGCTTCCCTCACACTCTGGTTCCTCTCACTGTTTCCCCTGAAGCGATGAGCAGAGCGCTTCACTGCATACTGGCGACCATCCTCGTTACTTAGCACCTACAAAAACAAAACAGTTTTTCTCTTCTAGTCGGGGATTTCTAAATCATGTTCAGACAGAAAATATCTGTATTCAAACAGACAAGACTTTATATAAACACTGTTGTTTCCCTTTCAACCTAATCCAATGTCAGGAACATTATATTAGAAAAAGAAGAGGAAAGGTAAACTGTTAACAGGCCGTGACTATTTAGCTTGTACCAAGTGTTCAAGTGTCTTTAAACCTCTACTTCATCTGAGAGATTGTTAAATTATAAACCTTGTTGTAATGTCTTGGTGTGAACTGTAGTCCTTCAAATGCAGAATTCAATTTCCACAATATTTGCCTTGCTCACCTTGTAGACCTCTCCGAAGGATCCTCTTCCCAGTAGACCCAGATTAGTGAAGCACTGACTGAAATAAGACTGCTGTTTGCTGGGATCATACACAGAATTTGTACTGGGAGATTTACTGAGGGAACAAGACAGGGGCGTCCAGGGGGATGTCTGCTGGGGGAACACCCTGCTCAAAGGGGGACATCCCTTGGATGGAGGCAGCGGGGGCAGAGAATGTGACATCCGGGCTGGGGAAGAAAAGTGCGGGACATGTCGCTTTTTGAGGGAGAAGGACTGCTCTGCGTGGGAGAAGTGGGTCGGAAGAGGGAGAGGAACCCTGGACGCCGTGGTCTCCACCGCCACTGACATGGTGTCTGTAGTGTTTCAGTTGTGCTGCAACAGACAGGACAAAATATATAAAACTGCGAACAGAATAAAAACGATAAGGATCTCTGGGTGGTCAATAAAACAATGTCGAATATTATCACAAAGTATCACTAAGTTTTCCTCGGGATCGATAGAATACGTCAGTATGTTTACAAGTATGTCTGTCATAATAAACAGCGACATCAACCCAGGCCCTGTTGTAATTAAATCCGTGTTAAATCTGATGACAGTGAGTTTGACAGGTTCGGGACCTGACACCTGGGTCATTAGTCTCTCTGGTGTTTTGATGCTCAGGTGAGTCGGGGCTGAATGTGACGTGACGTACCCGGTCAACGTGACGAGGGAACCCGCCTCGGTTCTAACCTGTCATGTGGATTTCACTTCAATCGCTGAATTAGCTTCGGCTAACAAACGCGACTCATCCTCCTGACAGGCGTCACCTCGGGTGTTTAGCTAACGTCACCGACAACACCTCCACGTTAGCTCGCCGTGCACCCCACAGACAGGTCACCTACCGCAACCGACGCTGTGGGCGAAGTCAGCAACATCGTGGCACCGACATGGGATCCGGTTTCCAGCACCGACGGTGTTCGAATCACTGACAGTCGCTGAGTCCGGAGCCAGCAGCTCGCGTTCGTCTCAAACAGCCTGGCGCCAAATTCTTCGTACGGTCACGCAGCGCTCCGTAGCGCTGCTCCGTGAATACCTACTTCTTATCTGAGGTTGCGCAACATCCGCAAGCGGTGCAGTCTGGGCTTGAACACAGAGGGCTAACTGCCTAGCTAGCTGACCACTTGAAATGGTAACTTCATTATTATTGTCGATCGCTTTGTGAGTTTTATTTTTATTTTTTTTTAGAGTTAACCCTCGGGGCTTTGTTTGGAAAAACGTGCGTGCGAAGATAACAAAACTTAAAATGTCGTTTATTGGGACTGTTTCTTTCAGTTTCTGTTAGCTAGGCTGCTAGCGCTAAGTTTGCTGTGCTAGCTTAGCCTTCCATCTGTAGGGAGAGATGTTAAGCGAGGTAACTTGTGTTAGCTCGGCTAACACCGGGAGCGGTGAGACGGCAGATATGTGACCGAGCTTATCAGACACACTGGACACACGCTGTCACAGCTCCACTGTTTATTAATGCTGAGCTAACTGTCAGGCCTGTGTTTGTCTCTGTGCAGTCGCTGTGCTAAGCTAAGTTTGCGTTAGCTCGGAGCTACGTGTGCCTGTACTGCTCTCCGTGTATGATCATGAATCAATGAATTGCAAGCGGTTAAATCTATCAATCGTATCCGCACATGTTCCTTGTCCCTCATCAAAGAGACACGCTGAGTGGACCTGTGT